GTTTCACGTGATCCTGCAAAGGTTTCACATGATCCTTTAAATGTTTCACATGATCCTGCAAAGGTTTCACATGATCCTGCAAATGTTTCACATGATCCTGCAAAGGTTTCACATGATCCTGCAAATGTTTCACATGATCCTGCAAAGGTTTCACATGATCCTGCAAAGGTTTCACATGATCCTGCAAAGATTTCACATGATCCTGCAAAGGTTTCACATGATCCTTTAAAGGTTTCACATGATCCTGCAAAGGTTTCACATGATCCTTTAAGGTTTCACATGATCCTGTAAGGTTTCACATGATCCTGCAAAGGTTTCACATGATCCTTTGAAGGTTTCACATGATCCTTTAAGGGTTTCACATGATCCTGCAAAGGTTTCACATGATCCTTTAAGGGTTTCACATGATCCTGCAAAGGTTTCACATGATCCTTTAAGGGTTTCACATGATCCTGCAAAGATTTCACATGATCCTGCAAAGGTTTCACATGATCCTTTAAAGGTTTCACATGATCCTGCAAAGGTTTCACTTGATCCTTTAAAGGTTTCACATGATCCTGCAAATGTTTCACATGATCCTGCAAAGGTTTCACATGATCCTTTAAGGGTTTCACATGATCCTTTAAAGGTTTCACATGATCCTTTCAAGGTTTTTCAGGATTCAGCAAAAGTTTCTCTTGATATTGCAAAGCTCTCAGAATCCTGAAAAAGTCCGGATCATTATTTATTTTTTCCCCCATATCCCCCTCCGGGCTCCGTAAAGGAACCTATAACACAGGAAGTTAAAAAAGTGAAAAATAAACACAGGTCAGAGCAATGCTCTGTAAAAAGTTGTACGATCGGTGCAAGGCATGATGGGAGAATCACGCAGCCCACCCTCTGCTCACCCTGTTGCTCCCATCAATGTGAAACAGGATAAATCTGGACTCATCAAACCACATGACCTGTTTTTCCGTCACTGCAGAGTCCGATCATTAAGCTCACTAACACCAAAACCTTTTTTCTGATTAGTCTCACTTCTAGTCAATAAAACTCACCCTGAACAGCTGATGGAGACTAAAAACAGAAGTTTTACTCACTCTGGAGCTGCTAAACAAACAGTTTAATTGTCAGGATGTTAACTGTAAATAAAAACAACAAATCATTCATTCAAATGATTATCTTTATTTTTAATTTGCATCCAACACATTTTCCTAAAACCCCACTTTAATACTGTTCGTCAAAGCTTTTGTTTTTTGGTTTGAAATGAAACGTGATGTAACCTGATGCCTCTCGTAATACGCCTGACTTTGCAGGATGCATTTCTAAGAACTCAGTTAATGAGAGTTTAGAGGAAACACAGACTGCAGCAGTAAACTGTGAAACACAGAGATATTAAACATATCAGGATACTCAGCTGCCTCTGAGGCTGATTACACAGACAAACACATTGTTTTGGTCATTTATTAATGTAAAAGTTGCTTATTTATCTGAAACAGAAAGTCACAGTTTTAGTTTGAACACTGACTCGGGGCCAAACCAGGACCTGATGGAAAATGATTTTAATCCAGACGAATGACATAACAGCATGTTGTTCAAAACACGGTAGCTTCCAACTACAACTTCCTGTTGGCCTGATGGTCTGAAGCTAAAAATACTCGGCAACATGCTGTCTGAGTGATGCAACCTGAACATTTGTCTGCTGACTGCTGTCTCTGTTTCTGTGTGCAGACTCTGCCTCTGCTGGAGGCCTGAAGAGGAAACACAGAGCCACTCAGTCTGACATTTTTGTTTCTTTATCTGTAAAATCTTCATCATTTCTCACCAGCATGTAACTATAATGATACTATTAACGACACTTCAATGTGTTTAAGTGCTTTGTCTGTTATCCTCCATGTTTTCCTAATTCAATGATTAAATTACCTCTTCAGGTTCTACAGAAGCCTGTTAATCATATGCAGTCAAACCAGGTGTGTTTTTACAAGAAAAACCTCTAAAGCACGCAGGTAAGTGACCCTGGAGGATCAGGACTGAG